GCCTCCCAAAGTGCTGGGATTACAGGCGTGAGCCACCGTGCCTGGCCGTATTTTTTACAATTTTCATTCTCATTTTACAGAAAGGAAAGTTCAAAGTTGAATACTCTATCATCTATAAAAGAGCAAGAAGTGATCAGAAAGCTCAGACTTCTGACCTGGGCTCTCCTTTTTTTAGTCACTAGTTCTGGAGGACTTGGTGTATTAACAAGGCCAGGAGCAGGGAGCCAGCATTTAGTTTCTAGGCATCATTGGTGACAAAAAAATTTGTAAAGTAGGTTCCTGAAAAATCTCTAGATGTAGAGAATAAAAGTTAGGGATGAACATTCATTTGTTCACTGATTTATTCATTCAGCTAACATTGAGTGGTTTCCGTATGCCAGATACTGTGCTAAGATCCTGCTCTTACCCACTCATCCCCCTCCTCACCCTCCTCACCCAATTAGAAACAGAACAGGACAAAACAAAACTATACTTCTTATATCATGCCACCTAAAAATATATTCCAGAGGTATTGCAAATCTACAATATAAAACTAAAATTATAACAATATAAGATTAAAAACTAGAGAAGTAGTTACAGAACCTCAGAGTTATTGACCAGATTTAACTCTGCAAAAATCTAAATTTTCTGTGATGGCAGAAGAGCCCTCAAATGAAGTAAAAACTCAAAAAGAGAAAATAGTTTTAGCACATGTGACAGAAAAAGGTTAAGAAATCCAATGAACAACAACAACAAAGACTAAGAACCTGAAAGCAAGATGGATAATGGATTTGACTAGGAAATTTACAAAAGAAATGTAGATGATCAATAAATAAGTAAAAAGTTGCTCAGCCTCATTCATTGAATCTAAGTGGAGATACCGTTTTCCAGATGTTAAAAACAGTGGTAACAGCCAGTGTTATCCAGTGATTCAGGATGAGGGGAAGCAGTCTTATACAAACTCACAGGTCCAAATGTGAATTGTTGCAATTTTAAAAAATTTTTTAATTTGTATGTATTTATTTTTTTTTGAGACAGAGTCTCACTCAGCCAGGCTGGAGTGCAGTGGCACCATCTTGACTCACTGCAGCTGCCTCCCAGGCTCAAGCAATTCTCCTGCCTCAGCCTCCCGAGTAGCTGGGATTACAGGCATGCACCACCACACCTGGCTAATTTTTGTGTTTTTAGTAGAGACAGGGTTTACCATGTTGGCCAGGCTGGTCTCAAACTCCTGACCTCAGGTACTCCACCCACCTCGGCCTCCCAAAGTGCTGGGATTACAGGCACGAGCCACCGCGCCCAGCCTGTTGCAAAAGTTTTAGAAAATAATCTATCAAATTCTTTAGAAATGTAAAATGTTCATAATGTTTGACCCAACAAGCTCAGTTTTAGTTCTCTATTTAAAAATACAAGTCCCACTACTAACAGATGTGCACACACACATGTACACAC